AAAAAAAAAAAATGCAAATAAATTCACACAATCCATTGCTCTCTTGTGCATTTAACAAACTTACCAAATCCATGGATAAAATAAAATTAACCAAACCCATCTATCTATATAAAAATAAAATAAAATAAAACAAATATGATATCCTCGTCACTAAAATTTCAGGAGTGCATCACCTATCAAAGCCTAGAAGGGGGCAGGGATATCGAAAATTATTCACCAAACCCATCCATATACATAAATTCTCGACGCAAATAAATCGGTATCCAACAAAATCTCAGTAGAAGTATATTCTACTGACTGAAATTGGTAAAAAATAAATATTAAGCAAGAACCGAGCTACATAGCCGGATAGCCCATGCAGGTGACCGCATGGTTGACATAATACACACATAGGGTCGGGATTATTTTATTCACGGGGATCCACGTCGGCCATGAATATACCTGTTGTAGCAGCGCAATCCTCTGGTTTGTGGCAGCCATAACCACTGCACAGAAGGGGAATCTGGAAGCTTTCAAGCTATTACTCATCTTAAACCCTTCACTGGCCTTAACGCTCCCACCCCAGGCCACAAAATTTTCATTGACAAACGCTGTCAATGTCTCATTACACAAAGTCCTTCCGCAGAATGCAGGTGTGTCAGGATGCTCTGGCGAGTGTAAGTAAACAAACAAAAGCTTGTAAGCATGCCTCGACCTCTGCAGAGCGTCCATGAAGTCCTCAGCCACAAAATTCGGCCTCATACTCCCATAATCCCTGTCAAAACTCGACACAAAGTCCATGGCCTCCGACGCGGACTGAGACACTGACACCAACGGAGTAGTACCAGCCCGGCCCGAATTATTAAGCCCGATCATACTAAGCGAATACGACAAGACTCCACTCGCCGCCCATATACCGAGCCCAACTGCACCAGAAATCAACCCTAGACTACCCGAAATGATAGAAAACGGGAGCGTTACCAATTTCCAGACAACGCCGGGGGGTTGATTGCTGACATTCGCCGCCAGAACTAAGCCAGCGTCTTCGGTTTCTTGATTTGTATTTGCGGTGGCGGACCTGGAGCCGGACGCGGCAACGGGTCGATTGTTGTCGGTGGAGGTGATAGAAGAAATGGCTTGTTCGAGGTCCCATCCGTGGGCTGAGAGAATTTCTGTACACAAATCGCGGTCTTCGATTCCTGTGATCGCTTGAAAATACGCCAATTTATCAGAAACATCCCCCATTTCTGGAATTTTTTGATTTGTATGCATATGCGTATCTATGTAAGTGACAAACCTGTGAGAATGGGGAAATTAGGGATTTATAGCTGATTGGATTAGATTGACGTAGACACTGTTTTGTGTTTCATGAGTGGGGTCCAATTGTTTAATAATCGACGCCGACGAGAATATTGTTGACATGAAATGTCATCGACATCCTTGGATATCATGGAATTCACGAGACTGCCATTCATAGAGCTCACTATATCCTGGCTCTTTGGACTCAAATTTCATTTTAACACACAATTTTTTTGTTCAAACTCGTCACTTGAGTTCGAATTTTATTTCATTTTGATCACTAATACTGTTTCTACTATAAAATATAATGTCATTTCTTCCACAAAAGATGAGTTTTCTTGCAAAGGCAATATTAACATTCATCGAATAGTCTTTCAAATAACCATTCACATGATTTTCCCCTCATATTGGTAAGGATCCGACAAGTTGATTCGAGTGCAACAAACTGTGATATATTTTACCACCTAGATTGGTGGTTCTTGCTTTCCATTTTTGGGGACGATCTAAGAGCTTCTGCCCAAAAAGTTGAATATGTACTTG